CCCCCCCCGCCCCTCCTCGCCCCAGCGCTGTTCCCGGGGGTGGGTGGGGGGTGGGAGTCCCAGCCCTGTTTCCCCCTCCCTCCGGTGCGCTTGCAGGAGCCCAGCCAGGTCCGGAAAAACCGGTTCTGGGCTCTGCCTGGGGCACGTGCTGCCCTGGGGAGCTGGGGCAGGGGGACCCCACGAAGTGCCCCCTGGCATCCTGCTCTGTCCTGACAGCTGGAGCCCGCAGGGGCACTGACAGGCTGGGCTGCAGGGGTCAGGCCCAGGTGTAGCCGGGCGATCCGGGATGTTCTCCCCCCACCCCCAGCTGCTGTGGCAGAGAGACGCTGTGACCTAGCCCTCTGCTGCCCAGGCCTGTGGCTCAATCCCAGGAGCTTTCTGTCCTTAGTTAGTAATTAGGTGGCAAAATGCAAACTCTGGGGCCAAGGGAACGGGTTCCCCCCCAAACATGGAGCAGCGACCCCCCTGGAGTCATTTGTACTGAGCTTGTGGGGCTCAAGGGGAGCGAAATGGGAGGGGCTGGAGCAGGAGTCTGTGGCCACACCAGGTCCTGCCCAGGGAAACAGGACAGTGAAGGAGTGAGTGGCTCCCTGTCACCCCATTCTTCACTCCATCAGGGCCAGCAAAACCCCCTGTCGGGGGCTGGCCAGCCCTGCCTTAGCAGCTCCGAGACACTAGTCCCAAAACGGGCTCTTGGCTCTGATCTTCATTAAAGACGGAGCAAGTCACATTTTTCAGCAGCATGTCAGTTTTATTGGGTGTAAAGGGGAACAGAACATGTGAAACATGAGGGCTGTGTCTACACTGGGCCACTTATTCCGGAAAATCAGCTGCTTTTCCGGAATAAGCTGCGAGCTGTCTACACTGGCCCTTGAATTTCCGGAAAAGCGAGGTTTGCATGAAAATCAAGGTGGTCCAGTGAGTCCCCCGACCCTGAGCCCTGAGCTTAGAACATAAGAATGGCCGTACTGGGTCAGACCAAAGATCCATCTAGCCCAGTAGCCTGTCTGCCGACAGTGGCCAACACCAGCTACCCCGGAGGGGATGGACCGAAGACACTGAGCAAGCCATTTGTCTCGTGACATCCCTCTCCAGCCTTCCACAAACAAAGGCCAGGGACACTGTTCATACCCCCTGGACATTAATTCTGTGCATGTGCAGTGGTGCAGAATGCACCTGGGAGTCTTTTTTTTGTGTGTGTGTGTGTCTCCAGCTGTCTCCATTTTCTCCAGGATGCCTCACTGACTGCTCCATGCCAGTGAATCATGCCAGTGTAGACGTAGCCTGTGGGTGTGAAAGTTTTTAACCACCCACTCTGTATCGTGGGTTTTCTCTCTGTGTGGATGCTGTTGAGTCGCACACTTTGATCTCTGTTAGTTAGACGTGCAGACAGCACAACACAAATGATTATCTGCCAGAATTTTCCTTGTATTTTAGCCATAAGCCTTTGCCATAAGCTCTTTGTGTGGTTTGAGCAATGACAATGGTCAGTATCTCTCAGCAGCGCGGGTGGGAGGGGGCAGAGCAGAGGAAGGTGGGGGACATAGGGTACGGGGGATGCCCCAACACTGCACCCCTCTAGGGATGGCCCTGGCTGCAGGTTTCTAATCCCCCCAACCGAAGCCCTGGAGGCTGGATGCAGCTGAACTGGGCCCGCTGCAGCCTGGCCACAGGGCTGTTATCTCAGTTATCACACCCAGAGTGTTTCCTTTTGTGTTGGAGCCTCAGGATTCTCTTCACTTTTCAGCCCCCCCATGTCTGAATGCTGCTCTCTGGGGGGTGTTGGGCTGGGGATGCAAAGTGCCAGGGTGACTGGGGTGAGTGTGGGGACAGGAATCTTTGTTCCTCCTTTTCAAAAATAAAACAGAATTTAGTTTCTCCCACTCCTGGTGTCCTTTGTTTTGCATGAAGTGGCTCCCACCATCACATGGCTGCTGCTGGGGATCCCCAGTGAGGGGCCCCTCTCCTGGAGGCCAGGGCTTGGGCTGTTCCATATAGGAAACCCCCTCTGGGCAGGGAGCAGGGGTGTTGCTGCGGTGTCTCTTAGAACATTCAGCTAACTGGTCTGCTCGCCCAGAAGGCAGCAGCCTGGGGCTTGTGGCACTTCTTCAGACCTGCTGGGGAAGAAACCCGGACTAAGGGTGGGCTGGAGCAGTATTGCTTTTGGAGTTGTTTATTGGTACAGATTCTTAAGAGTAAAGTGATACTCACACACCCACCCATCACATGCATGCTGGCAGTTTGGAGACAGGCTGCAAGTGCAATGTAAATGACTTTTGATTTTGCTGGTGGCTGGAGTGCTGGCCAGGCATCAGCTTCCTGGAGACTCAACCATGAGGTTCCTTGGGAGATCCCTTCGGATCTGCAGGAGGCTTTACTTTCTCTGGGCCAGTCCTGGGTGTCTGCTGTGATGTTACATCTTGTCCGAGAGAGAGAGATTTTCTGGGCGCGTCTCTATTAATTTATCTGCTTGCAGGGTCTTTGTCTGCCTTAAAAGGTCACAGATCCCTTTGATTGGGTATTTCCTCATTCACTCTTCACACACATGCCATAGGTTATGTACATATTCATTAACAACGTGGTTTCTAGGCAAAACTGGGGATGACCTTGAGTACATGAAATTGCATTGTGCTAAAGATAACATACCAAAGGCATGATAAAAAGCTTAACATAAATTATAACTAAGAAAGCCAAGGTCAGGGAAAAAGGGAAAAGCAGAGGAGTATGTCCAGTTAACTAGTCGCCAGTGGAGAGGAGGGAAGGGGGTGTCGTGCCCAACTGGTTACAGGGCCCCTTCCTCTCTTGGGTGGGAACAAAGGCTCAGAACAAGGGTCTCCCATCTCTCCCTGTGAGCTGGGCCATGGCTTGGCAGAAATCTCCCCCAGGGACTTGCAAGCTTGAGAGATGTTTTTGGTGAATCATTTTGTAAATGTCAATTGATCTACACGATTTCCTCAAGTGGTGGGTTTGAAGCTTTTGTTTAAAAAATTTCTTTATTCAAATGTTCACAGTTGTAAGGAATTGGAGGGGGGGGGAGGCTGTCAGCCAGTGGGGAGCCACGGATAATGGTTTACTGACAGTCGATACCGTCACTCACAAAGCTTTACAGCCATAGATCAATGGAACTATAGAGAGTTGCTTTTGCGCAAAATCTTGTCAGTCTAGACGCAGCCACAGAGTTCACGCAAGCCCACGAGTAAACATCCCAGCTCAGGTAGGTTGGGCAACAGGGCTGGCCTTAGTGAGGTGGCCGCCTCAGGTGCCAGACTGGCGGGGGGAGGCACCACTAGGACCCAGTGTGTAGAAAATTATGTCTGCTGCTGGCCCACGCGAAGGGGTACGGGGGCGTCACTTGAGCTCCCCACCTCAGGTGCCAAAATGTTGTGGGCCAGCCCTGTTGGGCAATGTCTTTGCCCTCTCCGGCTTTCAAGCCCAGCAACGTAAGCGGCCCATTCACATGCCCAACCTTTCTCTGCACCCTGCTCAGAATCACAGCCCTTGGTCAGGGCAGACCAGAGTTCAGAGGTGACCTGCAGAGTTCACCTCCCATTCTGAGGGAGTAAGAGACATCTCACCCGTGCCGCTGGTCACTCACCATCCATCTGCTCGCCACTCTCTGGTGCCTTCATTGCCCCCTGGTGGCTGCTCATCACATTTGGCGTGTGGTGGCTTTGGGCCAAACCTAGAGATTTCTTGTGTGAGGCCGCACGCCTTAGAGGGAACTATGATGGGCTGTGTCTACACTGGCATGAATTTCCGGAAATGCTTAAAACAGAATAGTTTTCATTATAAGTATTTCCGGAAAAAGAGCATCTACATTGGCAGGCTGCTTTTCCGGAAAAGCCCTTTTTCCGGAAAAGCATCTGTGGCCAATGTAGACACGCTTTTCCGGAAAAGAGCCCCGATCGTCATTTTCGCAATTGGGGCTTTTTTCCGGAAAAGACTACTGTGCTGTCTACACCGGCCCTTTTCCGGAACAGTGTTCCGGAATAAGGACTTATGCCCGAGCGGGAGCAGAATAGTTTTTCCAGAATAGTGGCTGATTTTGTACAGTAGAGCATCGTCGCTTTTCCGGAAATTCAAGGGCCAGTGTAGACAGCTCGCAGCTTATTCCGGAAAAGCAGCTGATTTTCCGGAATAAGTGGCCCAGTGTAGACACAGCCAAAATGATGTGGGATGCTCAGATCTTTTGGAAATCAACTGTATGTATCTGAATGAGTGGAGGGCAGTTCACCCCCACCCCCACATTACTATAGACATTGATGGTGTGGAACTAGCCTAGGGAAGCTGGTTTATCCTCTGCTTCCCTGGGGAGCGAAGCCATTCACTGGCCATTTGGACAGAAGGAAGGACTTGTGTAACTCTTGCCAGTGGCAGGGGAGAGTGTATTTCTCCACCCGAAAGGAAGCTGGTTCTGTTTATGGGCGGATGTTGGAAGCTCGGGGTTTAATATCACATCTGCAGATTATACTTTGAAAAAGATTCACAGCAGGCGCCTGAGGCACCAAGACAGACTGTGGTTGGAGCAGTCAGTGAGGCATCCTGGAGAAAATGGAGACAGCTGGAGACTGAAAAAAAAAAAAAAAAAAAAAAAACCCA